CACTGGACTATATCCTATAAGAGACTGGATTTTTGTTTTTGTTTTTCCATCCATTCCGTACACTGAAAAATTTTCCATCATCCTACCTATAAAGCTATCAGAACTGTCATTTTACTACTCTTTCCCGAGTACAGATCAATAAAACTATTATGCTTGTATTTTGAACTAAGAAGTACCCTATGTCTAACGCAATACAGTGCTTGGTGCTGTCTAATGATAAAAAGTTGGTAAACGGTTTCATCATATGGCACATGACCCAATAATGCAAATGCAAACTGGGTAAAACTGATACATTCATTAAGGTGCTACACACTTACAATAAACAATGAGTATTAGTAAAATAGCAACAAACTAATGTGAAAGAGTTCAGAATTTACCATGTACAGTCAGTTTCCTTCTCATGGTATTAAACTAGCCAGCAGAGGCATCCACTCCTTTTCTTCAACTGTGAATCAACATTATTCTAAAATATACATGGTAAAAACTGAGAAGTGAATGTAGCTTTTTCTCTCCAAAGTACTTTTCAATTATGTATTAACGCTATTAAAGAAAGTGATATAGGATTCTTTGCTTTTTAAAGAACTCATCTATTGAGAAAGTTCTGACTCATTAAAACTATAGAAGCAGTATCATATAAGCAGTATTAAACATTGCAAATGTTTTAGAAATAAAATGAGGAATTTTTTTCATGAGGATCTTGAAGAAATATGCCTAGTATATACTAAAAAATTTAAAACTCATAAAAAGTAGGTAGTAATTTACTTGATTTCAATTACATTGTAAGAGTTGCTTAAAATGTGGTACAAAATATTTAAGCACTCAACATGAAAATGCATACCTTTCAATAAACCATGAAAGAATACCTGTCTTAGGGTTATCAGAAAAAAAAATTATTTTGAGGGCAAAACATTAAATTTGGAGAGAAATGCCTTTTTTTAATTTGAAAAACTTAATGAACATTTTTAATAATCTTCAAATTAGAGAATTATATTGAGAATAAAAACCCAGCAACAGTAGTCACATAAACGACTATTATGGTCTAAAGCTAGTGAATTGTGTATGAATCGAAAATACCTAAAGTACAGTATTAAGTAGAACTTTTGCTATACTAGTCTTTTTATATAAAATACAGTAATAATTTCCTAGGACATCCATTTTCCCACCTAACAATATTAATATTGTTAATATAAAATTTATTTCAGTAAAAACATAAAGATTTGACCAATACATCTATGGAATACAATTAAGAACTATCTTACATGGAATTGCAGGGCCATCCTCGTTTTCAGAGGCCTAAAATAGTGTCTGGCAGACGAAGATACTCTACAGATGTTTAGTTCATTTCTAAGCACAATCTATTTTTCACATACAATCAAAATGCAGCAAAGTTTACAAAGATACATAAGTGGATATAGGCTTTCTGGCTGACTTCATGGGGTCCCACTGATGACTAGGTGTAAATCTTCATATCCATAGAAAACTCGAAAGCTGATAATTGTCTGGGTAAGGACCAAAAAACAAAGTCAGGGAAACATGTCACCTAAGTAATGATTGCTTTATAGAGCTGGTAAAAAGCGGCCTAATCATCGCAACATCCTACAGTATCATTCACTCACTAAAATGAAACATGTGAATCTTGAACAAATATATGTTTAATCAAGTTTATAAGTAACTGCTTATTCAAAATAAGCCACTTTTGTCAAATTCTATCCTAATGAGGATGAGAAGGAAATATGTTTTTAATTCTTATTATGAGTACTACATTTTTAACAGCATTTAATTTAGCTGTTAATTAGAAAATGTGAGAGCCACAGCAAACATCAAGAAAAAAATTCTAAAGTTAAAAACAAAAAAGAAAAAAACTTTCATGGTAATGAGAATTATACCAGGAAGGATGGGGAAAAAGGAGAAAAAAATTAATCTCACACTTGAGTGAAAAAAAATCAAATATATCTATTTTTTGAAACTAATATGGATTATGTCAGCCAGCTGGCCCTACTATGTACCATGTTTGCTATGAATGAGGTGCGTTCAAGCTCAGATCAGATGAAAAATTCTGTCCTTAAGTGGTTCATATTAAGTCAAACTCACAAGTAAACATTTATAAATCTATTTGTTTTTGTAAATAAGGATTCTCAATACAAGAGTAAGGGATATATTTACTGAACTGATTAACTGAAGGTTGAGGGGGAGGGGCTAGATTTAGAGAAAGTCAAAATTATTCAGAAAAAGTATAGACTCACAACCAGTGAAAGTAGTATCTCTTAGAAGGGGCAACAACAAATTATTGCTTTATAAATGGGCAAATCATAGCTCTAAAGCAATATACCTTAACATTTATAGAAAAAGATTAGTCTATATAGTCATGGTAGCTGCTTGCCTTTAATCCCAGAACTGAAGAGGCAGAGGCAGGTGGATCTCTGTGAAATAAGCCAATCTGGTCTAGAAATGGATTTCCTGATCATAGACTCTGTCTCGAAAAAAAGCCTCTGTGTAAAACTCTGAACTGCTATGCATGGAATTAGGCATGAAAATTTCATCTCTGACAAAAACAAAAATCTTGGAATCTTGAGTAAATTCTTCAGGCTTTCTAAATATCACAGCATGGAAAATGAAGAGTTATATAATGTGGCCTCCAAGGTATTATCTACTTGAACAATTATCCTCCTAAAATATCAACAGTATTTAACACTTAGAATATAAGCATGCTAAAAATATAAAAGGTTTTCAAGTCATAAGATGTTATCTTCTTTACAGGAAATACAGTCTTCTAACCATAGTAGGGACTAAGTAGGAAATAGAAGAATAAGAATGCTTTTAAAGGAAAATCTAAACAGCTGGGAATGGTAGGACATGCCTGTAATCCCACCATTCAAAAGGTTGAGGGCAGGATGATCATGAGTTCAAGACCAGACTCAGCTATATACCAAGACCCTGTCTCAAAAAAGAGGAATCACAAACTAAACATTAAATTCAAGACTCTAAATTTTTACTTAGCTGTCTACTAGATAACTACTACCCTAATTGTCCATACAAGTTGCATACTTAACATTGCCTCCTTTCATAAGTTCTACTTTCTATTCACTATATTACGCTTGTTAAGTTTTTAAAAAGACAGAAGTATTAGTAGTATTTATGATGGGAGACAAACTTGAAATTAACACAGATTTCTGCTTAAGTGCAGCAATCACATCTCAGAGAAAAGCTAAAAAAAAAAATTCAAATTTATAACAGAAATGAAAGAAATAGGACTATGCTGTTTACAGCTACACAGTTCCCCGCCCATGTGTAAATGGCTACTTTTCCACAGAGTTGGTAATTAAAATTTTACTGAACAAGTTTCTACATATGCAATGCTTTTCGGTCACTAAAATAAGAGTATATCATGTTTTGTCTTTACCATCAACAAAACAAAATAAGACAAACAAAGGGGAGCATCACATTGCAAGACTATGTCAAAGATTGTATGTCAAGTATCTTTATAGATTTCTATATCTTCAATCCTTCTTGCTGATCTCCTATTGTTGACATAAATTATGGAATCAGAGAAACCAATGCAGTTTTTAAAAAGTAAGATAGAGGAATACACACAGAGAGAATATGAATATGAATGTGTGCATCCATCTTCAAAAAAAGGATAAAGAAATGTATAAATGAAACAAAATACCACTTCCTAATGTAAGCTGTAAGTATGAGGCCTACAACAGAAATATATTTTTAGTATTTGTGAAATAAAATATAGCACTATATTTTGAAATATAAATAAATGTAATATATAAATATAAATAAAATACAGCACTATAAAATGAAGCCACTAAGAACACACCACGTAAGAATACAGAATAGTCTTTTTTTATCAAAACTGTTATTCTATAAACCTAAATCTAGATTTACCTTTCGTTTTGTACCTAGCTATAACATACTAGCTACAACTTCATGATTTCTTTAACTCATGAAAGTGAATTTCAGAAATTTATTTCCTTTCACATGTTATGAACAATTTGTTTCACTACCTCTAGATGAAAAACTCGTCTCAATTTACAACAGTAAATAAATAATTCAGTTAAAACTGAAAGTGGTACCAATCCAGCAAAATATTGATGGGGAGGTTCGGCCCTCTATGCAGCAAGAACAACATAAAGTTTTCAATGGGGATTACTTGTTCAGACAAGTTACCAAGATTAGAGTGAAAAAAAACCAGTTAGTTATGAAATAGCTAATATTTTCATGTTATGGAAAATAAATACCTGAAACTATGTGGGAAAAGATTATACCAATGGCATTTAAACTTTAAGCATTTCAAGCTTTGAACTTTATATAGTCAATATGAAACAAATATTTTACAAAAAAATGCAAGTGTAAAACCCAACCAAAGGCCTTATGAACTAAAATTTGAAATCTGCCAGGCAATTCAGACAAAATAAAAAATGGAGAAACTAAAAACACCTAACATAAAAACCAGCCAAGTCTTCCTACCCTAAAGTCAATATCCAAGCCACAGCCAGAAGCCAAAAGAGAGAAACACTCAGGTCTACAACTGGATAAGCAGTTCCAACACAATTCAGATCCCGACATTTTCCCACTCAGAATCAAAAGCAGGCAGCTTTTCCTGGGGAAGGAGGAAAAGCTCTCTACACGCAATTCTGTAAGTGACATCTAGAAAGTCTGCCTCTTTCTGTCTCTCTCCCTGGCGCCTCGTTGGAGGAAGGAGGAGGTTGTTTTGTAGTCTCCCCCCACTGAAGCAAGGCACAATCAGATGTTAGCTGGAGAAACCACTTTTGACAACAGCAAACGAAAATAAAAGTGTCCTTCCTTCCCTGACAGGGTGGACACCCCACCTCACACACCCCTCCTCACTCCAGCCCCTCCTTCACCCCCCCCCCCAGCACCACCCCCTCCTCACCCCGGAGCTCCACTGCGTATGAGGTCTGGTGCTACTGCTGCTCGGAGTGAAAGTCAGAGCCAGAGGAAGGCAATGGAGCCCCCCCAGACACACTTACCTTTCCTGCCCCCCACTTTTGAGTGCCTTTCCTGGAGCTGTGGAGGATGACACAAAGGGTAATAAAGGGGGGGAGTGGAGGAGGAGGAGGCAAAGGAGGAGGAGGAGAGCTGGGGAAGTGGCTGCTCCCGGTGTAGGGAGATGTCTCCAGCCAGGGCCAAGCAGCAGCAGCAACAGCAGCAGTAGCAGCAGCAGCAGCAGCAGCAACAGCAGCAGCAGCAGCAGCAGCAGCAGCAACAGCAGCAGCAGCAAAGGGTCTGTGTTGCTAAGAGGCTTTTGGTCTCTTTCTCTCCTCCTCTCACGGCCACAGTGCAGGAGGGTGGAAGGGGCTCTGGAAGCAGGCGAGTAGAGGGCTGAGGGGGTAGGAGTCGTGGATGGGGGTTTTCTAAGAAGAAGAAACTCCTCTCCTCTCTCTCAGGCTCAATCCCCCACTCAGGGCTCGGAGCTGGAGGGTGGGGGAGGAACTCAGCCGCTTTCCCCCCACCCCCCTCAATTCAAGGTTGAAGTGGGGTAAAATTAGTGTCCTGTCCCTTTAAAAATAGAAATAAAAGGTGCCCCCCCTCTGCCACTGCCTCTCTCTTCATCATCAGCTGCTGCTGCTGCTGGGGTCTCTCTGCTTGGGGGGGAGGGGGGGCTCGGGTAGAAGAGACGGGAGGCACTCACTGCGCATGCCCCTTTCTGACGGGAGGCTGGTTGGTTGAAGGCAGGAGGAGGGGGAGGGGAGGAAATGAGATGTTTTCCCAGAAGGCTCCAAGGCGCTGTCGACCCGGAAGACATTGTAGCAGGGGGTAGAGGGGCGGGGGCGGGAAGAGGGAGGAAGTTGCTACTCTTTAACACCCCCAGCTGCCTCCTCCCTCCTTAGGGAAAGTGGAGGGACGGAAGTAGGCGTGGACCGAGGGGGCGGTGGGGGGGGAGGAGGGAAGGAGGTCACGTGCCGGGGCGGGGCGGGGCCGGAGAGGCGGTGGGGGCGCTGCGCATGCTGGGAGCCGCTGTGTGCGCTGCTTGGCAGGCGCAGGTGAAGCGGGGCCGAGGAGGAGGTGAAGAGCCTGGGTGCTCGCAGGCGGCGGCAGCCGGCTTTGCCCCGGTGCAGGCAGGCTTCCCCGCGAGAGGTAAGGCTGGTCTCCTGGGCTGGGGCAGGGCGGCAGTGGCCACAGGCGGATGGAAAGAGCGACTGAGAAAGCGGTAGGCTTGTGTAGGCCGGGCGGGCCTAGTGCAGGCGGGCTGCTTCAGGCTGTCGGCTTCCCGGGGATGCCGTGGACGAAGCCTTGAGCAGGGCAGACTTCTGCAGAGACTAGTTGCAGACGGTCCGTGGGTGAGGTACGTGATTGGCCAGTGTGGAGAGAAAAATCGGCATCTCGGCAGGTGACCCACCACTTCACCCTTGCTTCGGAGCCTGTGACCCAGCTGGGAAAGCCGAACCGGATGTGTGAATTTTGATCAACTTCTGCTGTAGCCTTGCGATGTACACATCCCTGTGTTCCTTCCTTTTCTGTTTTCCTTGCAATCGATTTTGGAGGCGCTATAGGCAAAGAACGGGCAGGGGAGGTTTGAGTGAAGGCTCCCTGCACGCTCTGTGTGAATGCTGCCACACAAAAGACTGCACGTTCTGAGGATGCGTGGGATGGTGTGGTCCCACATATTGAGTTTTGTCCTTAAAAAAAGAGATACCTCGAAATTTTTTTGTCTTGTAGAGTAGAATAAAAAAGTTTTTTTTTAAATCTGGTGTTTTGTTATTTTATAGTGAAATAACGGTTTCTTTTCCGCCTTCACATTTTTTACAATTAAAATCGTTAGTCTTTCATTGCTTTTTGTAAAGATACTTTAATGATCCAAATCAATAAGATTTTTTTTAGAGAATTCGAAGATCCTCGAATTAATTGTTAGTTAGCATTACTAATTTTAGTTCTGCTCAGTAGGATTCATTGTCAGTTAAAGTTATTTTATTTGACACATCTTACTTGGTGCCAGTCTATTCAGTGGACCCAATTTATGTATCCATGCCCCTGTGCTTACCTTTTCTTTTTGCGAGGGAGGTAATTATGTCAGGTGGTCTCAAAATAAAACTCCAGTGCCCTAAACTTTATTAGAAAACCAAATCTTAATCTCGTAATAGAAAAATATATATATATATATAGCAAGAAAACTAATATGGTCTAGATAGAACTTTTTAAATCCTGTTTTATGTAAGAGCCTAAATATAAGGGAAAGTGCACAAAACACAAATGTAATGAAGGACTGTAATGTAACCTGTAACCACTATGAATCAAGAACTGAAACATTTTAGCACCTTGGAAGCACATGTCCACTAATCCCTTCCAGACCATTCCTCCTCAGGTGCCTCCTTTAATAATAACAATATCTTAATTATTATGACAATCACTATTCTTCTTTTAGTAGCTTGTAAAAACTTGTGTCAGCATTCCTAAACAAATATTAATTTCCCTCTCTTTATTAATTTGCAAGTAGTTCAAATATCCTAGTAAGTATCATTTTTTTGTCTCTTTTTATTTACTCAGCTAAGATTTGACACTGTTAATATATTTTGCTGTAATTCATATATTTTCAGTGTGGTGTAATAGTATCTGAGGTATAAGCTTTTATTAAGAATAAGCCACAGTTAGTCTTAATGGACGTTTGGCTTATGTTCATTTTTTAACTACTTACAATCTAGTTCAGAATATTTATGAATATCTACATAAATGATTTCTTATGCAGTTATGTATTTTTTGATTGTATATGTCTGTCTTCAGTTTCACCAAATTTTAAAATGGATATGCCATTTTATACCCCTGCCTCAATGTGTGATAGACCCTTCCCTGTGCCATCTCAACAACAATTATATTTTAATTTTGCCAGTCTGATTAATCTAGTTTTATGGTTTGCACTGTCTTGATTACCGTTCTGTACTGAAGATATCCCTGTATCAGAAACTTACTGGCTGTTTGGATATGTTCTTTTTGAAATTGTGTTTTTAATCATCTTTGTAAATCTTTCGTGTAGTTTTTTTGAATTTGCTATTTTCCATGAGGATTTGTAGCATTGGGGCAGATAGCTAGTCTGTTCTTGAAGTATTACTTATTTTCAAGATAGTATGTTTAACTGTCTTAGTTTATATGTTGTTACTGTTCCTTAAATTTTATATTTAGCTTTATCTCCAGGAAACAAGTTTTCTATATGTATTACTCAGAACAGTTGTCACCAGCTGCATGAAATGAGCACTTGAAATGTTTGTAGGTATGAATGAGAGTGGGAACTTTTTGGGGAGAGGGTTTAGGGGGATTTCAAGACAGGGTTTCTCTGTGTAACAGCCCTGGCTGTCCTGGAACTCTCTTTGTAGACCAGGCTGGCCTCGAACTCACAGAACTCCACCTGCCTCTGCCTGCCCAGCGCTGGGTTTAAAGGTATGCGCCACCACGAGTATAAAATACTGTAGTTTCTCGTAATAATGGCTTGTTAAAATTATAACTACTTTTACCTTGTTTTGTTTTATTAAATATATTGGAAAATGTTAAATTACTTAAGATTTACACTTACATTGGACAGCAGTGTTCTCAACTATAAATATTGAGTTAGAAATTTCTACTTCTTTGCCACTTCTCCTGATTACTGTCCTGCATTTCTGACTGTCCTTTTGGTATCTTTTTTCTTTTACTTCAGTATAGTCTGTGGAAGTTCCTTAATGTAGACAACCAACTACATCTCTTCTTTGCTTCTAAGCCCTTATTTTGCCTTCATTTTTGAGGAGTTAAGGTTTCTTGCAGCCTTGTGATTGTTTTTCACCACTTTAAAGATAACATTCTACTGGTTTTTGTTTGTTTGTTTTTTGGCGTGTTTTGTTTTGTTTGTTTGTTTGTTTGTTTGTTTGTTTTTCTTCTGTTACTGACTTCCAGAAATTAGCTCTCAATCTAATTTCTGGTGCATTGAAAGAAATTTTTTTTTCTGAGTCAGAATTTCACAGTGTAGCTTTGGAGCCTGTCCTGGAACTCTCTTTGTAGACCAGGCTGGCCTCGAATTCACAGAGATCTGCCTGGCTTTGCCTCCTGAGTGCTGGGATTAAAAGCGTGCGCCACCACCACCCGGCTTGAAAATTGTTTTATTTTTGAAAAATACTCTGTTTGCTATGATTTTTCTGCTATTTTACTATGATGAGGGGAGGTAGAATTCTTTGTCATGCTTTAGAGTCTTTGTGGATTCTGGTATTAATATATCATTATCTTTGTAAAAGCATAGAATGAACTGTTAGTAATTACCTCCTTGTGTAACATGAATCTTAAAAGGTCTTCTAAATAGAAATAACTTGGAGCCAGTTATTTGGATAAATTCTGAAAGATCAGAGAAACAGAACAAGCCACAGCCAACCTCACCTCGCCAACTCCTCAGCTGATCTTGTTTCCTCAGACTGAAAGTCTCTGAGTCCTCACTGGAATGGATCTCAGTTGAACTGCTGCTTAAAGGCCTAGAAGCTTAAAAGTCTCTAGTTCCAGGCCTCCATGCCTTTTATACCTTTCTGCTTCATGCCATCATTTCCTGGGATTAAAGGCATGTGTCTTTCCAAGCAAGACATCAAATGTCAAGTCCTGGGATTAAAGATGTGTGCCACCATGCCTGGCTCTGTTTCTTGTTGTGTGGCCTTGAATTCCCAGAGATCTGGATAGACCTCTGCCTCCAGAATGCTAGGATTAAAGGCATGTGCTACCACTGCCTAACCTCTATGTTTAATATAGTTGCTGTTCTGCTCTCTGATCCCCAGATAAGTTTATTGGGGTACCCAATATATCAACCACATCCTTGACTTTTATTTGCATGTATTTATAGTTAATTTGTTGTCTTTGACAGGAAGTTCAGATTCTAAAATTTTTTTAATGTTTCTGCTGATTTACAATGTTTTATTTCTTGGGTATCTGTTTCAGCTGTGGTCTTTGGGAAATTACAGGAATATGTTGTAGGATAATCTTTTTGTATGCTTTGAAGATGTGTCTTTGCCAAGGTGCCTTCTGATTGGTTTAATAAAGAGGTGAGTGGCCAATAGCTAGGCAGAAGAGGATAGGTGGGATTTCTGGGGAGAGAGAGGACGAGGAGATAATTTCGGGTGCTGAGATGCCTTGAGACTCTGAG